TCTGGTTTGGTCACTTGAGGTCAGTTTTCTGTAACCTGTAGCCAAAAGCTTTACAAACTGATATGTTTTTGTGCTAGGGGACAGATTCAACCAACTATTTCCTTTAAGAAGTCAACTAAGACACTGCACATCTGTTACGACAACTGGCCGCTGAAATATCTAAAGACATTAAGCGGAAAGGTCCAGTTTTGAAAGAAAAGCACAGGGACCAAGTAACAGCTCATTACGACCAGAGATTTAAAAACAAACAGTTTTACACCAGCCAAAATCCCATCACTTTATACCGAAATGCAACCCCTTCCTCAGCAAGAACCCGCCTATCAGTTTTGACTGAAATACAACTCCCCCTCCTCCCACACAGCATTAAAATCAGTACCAGAGAATGGTGATTTTTCATCTGAACTGTAATTCTTCCTTGCTATTCATAATGAACTCTCAGAAGTTAAAACTCATGGCCAGTTTTTCCCAAGTCCGAAATCTCACAAGGTGGCAAATGAGTTGGATAAAAAGGTCTCATGAGTGGCCATGAGTGGGGGAGGCGAGGAGGTGCCTTGGCTGTCCTGGGAGGTGACTGCCCGTGCAGTTGGCCCGAGCCAGCCTCAGGGTGAGTGCTGCCTGCTCAGTAATTGCTTCATTACGAGTGGAGACTGTTTGCAGGTGCTGAGATCACTCACTTGTGGGGTTTTATTGCCCTCGTCAGATTAACAAACATTTCTGATTAAATCACCACTTCATTGGCTCTGAGCACACAACTTTTAATGAGGACAATATCTACTGCTACTGAGCATCAGTGCACATTCAATACTCAGACCCGCTGGGGGCGATGGGCGAACAAGGTGAGGAGACAGTCAGATGCCAAGCTTTTCCTAAGGTGCACGGTTACAGATCTCAAATGTTAGAATATCCAAGCAAAAAGTAACCTTAGAGATCAAGATGGCAAATGTAAATATCTATATTGACAGGTAAAAAAAAAAATTGGCAAATGTGGCTGGTATAAGGTGGTATTAGAACCCCTCCCTCCACAAATTCAAAGCATTTTTAAAACCATGTCAGCCAAACAAAAGACATCTGTCATCTGTATTTGACCACAGTGAGTCTGTGACCCCTGATGAAGTTACCGATGAGAAAACTGAAGGTTGACTTAACCATGATAAAAAAACATGTACAAGAACCACAAAAGCTGCTAATACAGAACATTGCTTATTGATAATAACACCGCCGGGCATCTGTTAGGCACTTTAAATAGATTTTCTCATTTAATCCTCAAAACCACACTGTAGGAAAGTTGCAATCTGTGTAGACTGTGGGATGTTCACTAAAACAGTGGATGCCAACAGGTAGTCCGTGAGGTCCGAAAGGTTGGCGACTGCTGCACTAAAACACACTAGCTCCTTCCTCCAATGCAATCAAGCTGTAGTTGGGCATGTGGCCTCCTAGCTGATGAATGTATTTCCCAGCCTGCCCTGCAGTTAGGTGAGGCCTCGATTCTTAGCTTGCATGTTGGCCTTTGGAAAGTGGGCACTTTAGGCCCAGGACTCTTTAAGACAGCGGTGTGCTCTTTCCCAGCCGGTGGGTGTGGCCTGGTTTTGTTCATGAGGTTACAACAAGGACCTAGGGGAAGACAGAGCCACAAGATGGAAGGAATACAGCAGAACCACTACTGTCCTAGTATTTTAGACCAGGGGTTGGCAAACTATAGCCTGTGGGCCTGTTTTGTAAATAAAGTTTTATTGGAACATAGCCATACCCATTAATTTACATACAGTCTATGGCTGCTTTTGTGCTAAGACAGCCTATCTGAGTACAGTTGACCGATGTTATTTGTGGTAGTTATATTCTATAAAGCTGCCACCAAAAATGAATGAGCAAATACTGAACCAGGTTAGGTTCCTGTGAGCTTCCGGTCACAACATTATTATCAACTGATCAATAAAAAACCTTGTTTTGTGTGTATTTCTGTTTAAAAAGGCCTACTGTCATATATATTCTTGATTCATTAACATTGAACTCACAGCCAACAACACTATAACTCAGACCTGAACAAAACAACAACATACACGTTATCTGTAAGGCACATGAAGCCTTCTTGCACTTTGGAAAACTAGATAGCACTACACATGACGGCATTTTAAACAGCAAAATCACCAGCAAGCAGCACAAAATTATTTTTAAAAAAATGTGGCACTAAATAGACCACAAAAAGGACACTTTTTACTATATAAGAACTGAAATAAGGCCTGGTTGGTGTGGCTTAATCGTTAAGCATTGATCTATGAACCAGGAGGTCATGGTTTGATCCCATCAGGGCACATGCCTGGGTTGTGGGCTTGATGGGATCTCTCTCATCACTGATGTTTCTATCTCTCTCCCTTCCTCTCTGAAATCAATAAAAATATATTTTAAAAAAAGAAAAAAAAAAAGAACTAAATTAAGAAAGCAGAACATTACCTTGTTCAAACTTAGTGGGATCGGTAGGCCTCCAAAGACTACAATTTTTTTTTAATTTTGTTTTTTGTTAATCCTCACCTGAGGATACTTTTTCCACTGCTTTTTAGAGAGAGTGGAGGAGAGGAAGAGAGAGAAACATCCATGTGAGAGACACATTGATTGATTGGTTGCCTTCAGAACCTGCACTGACTGGAGCTAGGGGTCGAACCTGCAACCCAGGTATATGCCCTTGACCAGGAATTGAACCCGTGACCCTTTGAATACTGTAACTACTGAACACCACCAGCTAGTGTTCAACTTGCTTTGAGTTTGTGACTTACTGCAAAAGCACTCCACGTATTGATTTGGGGGTTACACATATATTTTAAGGAGGCAAATTCACAAATACAGACTCCATGAATAATGAGGAACAACTGTAGTTGCAACAGAGACTATAAAATATTTACTACCTGAACCTTAGAATCAATGTCTGCACATCCCTGCTCTAGCAAGTTAGAAAATTTTTTTTTCTTGTTCTCAAAACCACTGACTTTTGGGGTTTCTGTTATAGCAGCTTGCCATGTCCTAATACAGACTATAAAGTCTATGCTCTTCCCACTGCATAGTGCCTTCTCATTTGACCATCTATTATTCTTTCAGAAGGAGATTGCTATTTCCATCAACCTCTTTTTCTCTCTCTACCAAATAGGCTGATATTTCTCAAGGGGTGGTACTAAAACCTCTTGCTTCAGCATGGTGTGTGTAGCTTGTTAAAAGCATATGATTTGGCCCTGGTAGCTCATTTAGAGCATTGTCCCGATATTCTAAGGTTGTAGGTTCCCCCGGTCAGGACACATACAACAATTAACCAATGATTGTATAAATAAGTGGAACAATAAATCAATGTTTCTCTCTCTTAAATCAATAGAAAACCCCAAATTGTTTGTTAAAAATACCACTCCCCAACCCCCAAAACACACACACACACGTCCTACTGAATTACTCCAGGCAGGGGAGAATTCAACCCTCCATTGTAAAAAGCTCTACAAATGATTTTTAAAAATATATATTTTATTGATTTTTTTACAGAGAGGAAGGGAGAGGGATAGAGAGCCAGAAACCTCGATGAGAGAGAAACATGGACCAGCTGCCTCTTGCACACCCCCTACCGGGGATATGCCCACAACCAATGCACATGCCCTTGACCGGAATCGAACCCGGGACCTTTCAGTCCGCAGACCAACGCTCTACCACTGAGCCAAACTGGCTTCAGCTACAAATGATTCTTAATGCAGCCTTAAATTTGAGAAGCGCTGAACTGATAGTAAGCTCAAGAAGACTATTACCCTATCTCTGTCTTTTTTAATCCTAACCAGAGAACATGTTTTCTTAATTTATTTATTTATTTAGAGAGAGAATCCACTGTGAGACAGGAACATTGACTGGTTGCCTCCCAAGGTGCCTGGCCAAGAATGGATCCTCTGGCAGATGACCTAAAGCAGTGGTCGGCAAACTGTGGCTCTCAAGCCACAAGAAATTTCAATAGTTGTACTGTTGATATTTGGCTCTGTTGACTAATGAGTTTGCCAACCACTGACCTAAGGGCGCTGTAGCCTCTGGGGGGTGACATAAGGGAGCTGTAACATCAGAAACAAGATGCACTAGAAGACGAATCACCTTGATTCTCAGCTCCTCCAATTCTTCAACCTAGGCTCTACTTGAAACCTCAGTTTCCTCGTCTGTAAAAGTCGCGCAGGCTGGTCCTGAGGACGAACTTAGAATGCAAACAAAGTACTAGCATATAGCTGTCGCTATATCCATTTCCTTTCCCCCTCACATGCAACAAATTATTTTTATGTCTTAAATCCTCACCTGAGGATTTAAAAATTGACTTGCGAGAGAGAGCAGGAGAGAGCGAGCGAGCCTCCCATCACACGCCTGACAGACCCACCGCCTCCCGTGGTAGGAGGACACCCCAGGCCACTGAGGACCCGCCCGGGCGCAGCGAATTCGTTTTAAGCACCTTGGGACCATCCCCACTCCACCTGCTCCGCGAATTCCCGCCGTTCCCCAGAGCCATGTTCCAGTCACAAGCTCCAGCCCCCAAGGAAACCTGTCCCATCTCAGTCAGTGAAGCCACTACGAATACACGACACAGTACGGGCTCCCTCACCTTCAGGGGTCCCTCACCTCAGGTCTCTAGCCCTGTGTCTCCCACTCACCCCCCACCCCCAACCTCCACCCACCCCCACCCCTCACCCCCAACTACCACCCCTTCAGGACCTCATCTCCTTGTCCCGCCCTCTCTCGGGCCCCTGTTCTTCACGCCTCTTCCCTCTGGAGTGGCCCTCCCCCGGCTCCCATCTCCGCCACCCCCCTCGGGCCCCCAACATTCGGTTCCTTCACCCCTCAACTCCAGCTACCCCCAGGGGCCGTCGCAGGACTCTGCATCTCTCCCAAACTCGCGTCCCCCTCACCCTTAACGCCTCCTCCACCCGCGGCCGGGCGCACTCACTTCCCCGCGGCGGGGAAAGGACCCCCAACGACGTGGCCCACCCCCATTCCCCCCTCACCTCCTGAGCGACGCCCACGTTCTCCCGCTTCTTTTTAGTCATGTTACTCGCCGGGATCCCCCAGTCAGCATTGGACACGCCCATTGGCAGCACCACGCATGCGCACACACTCGTGCTTCCCCCTCATTGGCCACCAGGGCGGCGGGAGGTGGGGCTACTGGCGACCGCCATCTTGTTGCGGGGCGCGGCCTGCGGGGCGCCACCATGTTTGTGAGGGGCAACCTCTGGTTCGGCCTTAGCCTGGGGCCGGGGAGAGGCCAGTTGGCCCTGGGGCCATTATCGCGGAGCTGCTGCCTGCCTTGCTAATTCAAAGCCCCATTAGAGCAGCGGGAGGGAGACCTTTTCCACCTCTTCTTCATGCCCTCCATCCCTTTAGGGGCCCGCCCTGCACACTTGGAGGCCACCCTGCACCCCCCACCCTCCCGTTTAAATCCTGTCCAACCTTCAAAGCGCATCCTGAAGCACCATTGCTCCGGGAAGCCCTGTCTTGAGTTCCGTGGCCTTTTGGAATCTGAGAACGACCTTCTGTTGTTATTCCTCCTTGTTGTCTCGTGTTATTTTACCCACAAACCTCACGGAAGACCTGAGCAGCATCCTCTATCCTACCTCTAACACCAAGGTTCTGTGCATGCCTCTAGGCTTCCTGCCAGACAGTGTTTTATGCTGTTATCACCCTCTTGCACAGACCCTTGGACCAGGCACTCTGAAATGTTTTGACCCATGGTACGAAATGCTCTTCTGTCCCATGGCCCAGCTACCCATGTAACTGCAACTAACATTTCCCCATACACAAACATCTCTGCCACCTGCCATGTTCTATTGTTGTATTCTGGCCTATTTTATGTATATTTTTAAAAAGTTGGTGGCAGCTGAAACTGGTTTGGCTCAGTGGATAGAGCTTTGGTCTGTGGACTGAAAGATTCCAGGTTTGATTCCAGTCAAGGGCATGTACCTTGGTTGCGGGCACATCCCTAGTAGGAGGTGTGCAAGAGGCAGCTGATGGATGATTCTCTCTCATCAATGATTCTCTCTATCCCTCTTTCTTCCTCTCTGTAAAAAAATCAATAAAATATATTTTAAAAAATAAAAATAAAAAGTTGATGGCCGGAGACCTATTAAGTTTATTTCGTGACCCATTAATGGATATGGAGCTGCAATTTGTAAAACACTATCATAGACAATTTCCTATGCCCTCAAAATCACTATCTGTGATGGTGGCAACTGCCACCGAGGGAATACAGCCAACCTTGTGTTAGATATCACCTTCAAATAAAGCAAAGGAAACATCTTTGCATACATAGCTCTGTCTTTCTGAAAATTTTAAGATAAAAGTGTAGAAGTGGAATTATTGGGTCAAAGAATATGAGTCCAGAATCGAAGCTCCTTATTTTCTGAGCAGTTATCTTTCGTGGGGGTGGGGGTGGGAGTGTGTGCCTGTGGTTTCGGTGTGTGAATGTGTCCAGATTTGTGTTCTCATCTTGATAGAGTTGTTGAATGATGGAGCTGGAAGGGACCTGAGATCTCATCTCAGCTGGCCGCCTGCCTGAGGCCCACAGAGGAAAATCGTAGCAAATTCTCTCTGAACAGTCAGCAGGCTGCTGAGCAGTTGTTTAGTGCAGCTCTTAGCATAACACCCAGCACAGGAGAAACTTCCTCAAGATCGTTGTCTATCAATTGTCAATCAACGGCATTTATTGTCAGAACACTCTTCACAGCACCCAATCCCAGAAAAACCAGACTCTTGCTTCCCAATTATCACAGGCACGGGCCCAGGGGAGGCGAGAAGAGGGAAAACACTGTGTTCTTTTAGAAGTGGTTCCTTCCGCCTGTGCTTGGCACCACAAGAAAGCCACGCGCCGTGGTGAGCTTCCTGTCAGTGCTTTGTCTTTCTCCCCTGTTCCCCGTGAGATAATGGCTGAGCTGTCATCCTTCTCCCTCAAGAGGCTTGGATTTTCCAAATCAAATTTGTTCCCTGGTTCTTATAACAGGACCAAGACTTGAAATGGGACTGGAATGAGAGCTCAAGTGGGTTGTGTGAAAGGGGAAGTGGGGGGGGGGATGAGGTTGACATGGATTTCTATCCCAGCTCTACCACTGAGCAGTGGTGGGTTGGGGTCCAGGTACTTAAGTTGGCTGAGCCTCAGTTTCCAGGTCTGTAGAACAAGCTGGTGGGCCAGGCTTGTAGGCTGTTGTGCAAATCACTAAATGGCCAGTGCTGTGGTTTGTGAGTGACCAGGACAGGTTCAGCAGGACGGAGGGGCCCGCTGCCAGTTTTTCATTATAGGGTTTCGCTTAGCAATTGCGGTCATTCTTATTTTGATTATTGTTTTGATATTGGTTTCTATCAGCTTTGACACGACTGTACAGTATATGTTGCTAGGAATTAGGGACAAATATTTGGGTTGTTTTCTGCTCTCAAGGGCATTTAGTTCACTGCAAAGGCAGCCCCCAACATGCAGGAGTGTCTCCCTCCAGAGGAGGCGCCCTTTCCACCTCTACTGGTCCTTCCTGCTGAGGCCATCAATCATGGGTTTCCTGTGCCCGGACATTGCTGACAGCGCTGGCTCCTGCAGAGCTGGGGGAGCTGAAAGAGCCCCGGGAACCTGCAGAGGCCCGTTCATCCCAGTACATGCGGTGACCGGCTTTGACTTCCACGGGGACTGTTTGCTGAGCCTGCTGCAGCTCGGCCTGGCTTTGTCCTGGAAATTCTGCCCACGCACAGATGGATTGCTGTGGATCAGCTGTCTGTTTGTCTGTCTGTCTTTGTTCTTTCGTGAGCTGTGGTTCTGAGCTTTTCTATTTAGGAGTTTTAGGGTGAAGTGTTTATGGGAAATAGCGCAAGCACTACATTGGCAGACAGAACTGGGTTTGATCGTGGGTGGGCCAGGTCCTCACTGTATGACCTTGGGCAGGTCAAGTCTCCTCTTTGGCTCCCCGTTTCCTTGTCTGTGAAATGGATGCATGGGGGCAGAACTAGTCAGCTTAGACACCCTCAAATTCTGTTTTTGATGACTTTGTTATTTGTAAAGTGCCCAGACATAAAGCACCCTTGTTGGCTGTAAGGTAAACATATAAAATAAGAACAATCCTCACTCTCTAGATGTCTTTAATCTAGTTAGGGAGACAGACTGACAACGTGAAATAGTGAATACCAGACATCATGTAATTAAATGCCAGCTGTCTGTACTTACTGTGGATGAGTTAGGAGCTCAGGAAAAAGAGATGCTGTGGGTTTTGTTGAGGCCTGAAGGATAATTGAGGTTGGATCAGGTGCAGATGGGGGAGAGAGCACCCCAGGTGGGAACTGAAGGGGTTTCCCAAGCCTACAAGAGTTGCCCTTTTCAACTAAAGTGCTGTGCAGATCAGCCACAGCCCTGGCTTATCCGCCGTGAAGACCCTTGGGTCAGTTATTCCATCCCTTGTCCCATCCTGGGCCTGCCTTACCTGTGGGGTCCAGACCTGAGCCCCCACTGCCACCTGAGGGCACCTTTTCAGAGCAGGAGCGCAGGAGAGTGGGATCATTCTGTCAGAAACATTTCGGGCAGGAAATGAAGAGTTTCATAGGTGGCTAACACATAGTGAAGGCTGATTTATGTCTGGGTTTTGTTCCAGGGCAGCAGATTGTAGTCCAAGTTCTGAGGCAAAGGCAGTGTCTTTATGGCCTGCTTGGATCAGTTTTATGTCTTGGTGGTTTTTATGTTTCAGCATAGCCAAACTTTTTCAGATGCTCAAACTTTTTGTCCGGGGAACTCATGTGCCACTCCTTTAACTCCAACTCATTTCACCATAAAAAGAAAAGAAAGCAGAAGAGATGGCATGGATGTTTTTGCTTGATATTTAATTGGTATCCAGTCTTTAGCTAAATTAAATCAAATCACAAATAGCTGATGAAACCATGTGAGACCCTGAAGGAACATGTGAGATGACATCATGAAAACAAAAGGACAGGATTCTAAATGTTGTTGAATAGGAATATTCATAATATCTCAATATCCATGCTATCTTCTTTGAGGAGAAGAGATTTTTATTAAACATTAGTTTCATTAAACATTGATTAAACTAGACAAGCTATGCTGGTACGTTTTTACCTTATTGCTACAATGCCTTTTATAACTGAGCATGCCTCCCACTTTTTTGTTTGCGAGGAAGCTCAGATCTGAACTTTTGGAATTTGGGGCATGGGTTCCCATGTGCTAGCATTTTCCCTGGCTTTATTTTGTTTTTCTACCCTTGTTTCCTCTTTGCTATATCACTTTATTTTTATCCCACTGTATTGTGTGCATCTTGGTGAACTACCTCAAATCCTTTTTTTGGAACACACAGGAGCATAATAAATCAATAAGTACATCCTGTGTTTAGTAAATATGGCACTTTGTTCTTTCCAGAGCAATTTTCGTATCCATTAGCGCTGTGGGTCCTCACACAGCTCAGCAAGGGGAGTCAGGCAGACCCAATCACCCCCATTTTACAGATGAGGAAGCTGAGGAACCTCCAAGCATGAAGTGGCTTACAGAAGACCCAATCCTCCATTTATGTAGAAGACTACCTCTGAAAAAGGAGACAGGAATATGAAACTAAAAGCCCATTAGATGTCTCATTAGTAGATGTAGACTGACAAGGAGGAAGCCAAGGTTGGGGTCACCAGTTAGAGAGGACACAAATTGGGGTGACCACTGGCTTCAGAGATTCCTCCAGAATCCATATCTGTGTTGCCATCTCTGCCTGCCATCGTCTTTTCTAACCACTCTCATTGGTCACATGGGTGGGTGGCATGTGATCCAAGCTGGGCAGCCAATCACAGAACCACACTTGGATTATTTCAGAGGCCAGGGCTTGAGCTGGGCCAATAGGAGTTCTTCACTGAGATTTTTCATCTCTCGCTGGGAAATGAACTCACCTGAGCTCTGGTCGCAGAGCCGTTGGGATGTGATCCTGGAGCAGCCAACAGCCGTGCTCCTTTCCCTGAGGAGGAGCTCCCGTGGGAAGTGAGAGAGGCAGCAGCTGAGAGATGAGAGGGGGTGCCCTACTAACGTTTGGAGCTCAGGTTGCAGGTGCCT